CCCCCACACTCACTCCACGAGCACTACACCTCCCCCAAACCGCGTTCCACCTCCTCTTCACCTTACAACTTAAAAATACTAACCTCCACCTAGATTTATCCTCTTTATCCTTATATACCTAAGTTTCACTCTCGCTACTAGATATTCTCGACGTTCTAAACTTGTCTTTCACGCCTTCATCCCAGAAATCTTCGAAGAATCCACATGTTGAATACTTTTCGTTCTTACAGCCTTCGCAGTGAGAAGCGGTCCTTAGAGGTGGAGGGTAGGACTTTGCCCCTAGGTTACAGGATTTGCAAACCACCCATTTGGGATTTCGAGACTTGTGGGCGGTGTTGGGTATGATTATTTGCCTATCGTAGCTAGATTGTTGACATGGATATTGACATGAGGTTCGTGGGGAGGGGCTTAAGCTTGGCGGTGGTGTTTTTTCAGTAGTAGCCATGTTGTCGTAGGAGTCGCCTAGTTGTTTTTATTAACCGATTTTTGAGAGAGGGAAGTTATTATAATATAATTTTAACATAAGAGTTAGGGAGATAGGTTTAAGAGAAGATAGGAAGAACAAGGTCTTAAATAACAGAACTAAGGGATAAGAGAGGTGATTAGATAAAGTACTAATAGCCCTGTGAATAATACCTAACCTAATCATCCTAATAATTCCCCCAAACTTCCCCCTTCCTCCCTTCCCTAAACACAACCTAGATTATTCCCCTCACTTCCCCCCCCCTCGCTTTCTACATCCCAAATCTATATAGCGTTACGATCAGACGAGTTAGGTGACTCGCCTCCTTAGCTTCGGATATAAGTATACTTATCCCCACCTCTCCCCTCCCATCTAGACTCCTATGATATCCTAAATATATTATTCTAGCCCCCCCCCCACTCTCCTATCCCCCTTAAAAAAAATCCTAAATTTACTTTCCTCTTCTCTTCCTCTTCTCCTTCCTCCTTACCTTCCTTTTCCCCTTCCCCTTTATCTTCCTACCTATAAAGGTTTTAATTTTAAGTAAGATAGTAAATAAGAGCTTTTATAAATAAATACTTAGGCAGTTCTTATTATAATCCTCTCCTTATAGACGATCGAACAAATATCCTATTTTAATACTCTCTTTTATTTTACTAAATTACTACTTCCCTCTCTACTCTTTATCATAACTCTTTACTAATCCTTTACTATTGTATCCCTTTAGAATCTAAAAGATAAATTTAAATTATATTATAATACTTATTATGTATTCTAAGCGAAAAAAAAGGGGGATTTTAAATAGTAATTATTTATATTTATATCTTATTTATATTACTTATTCATTTTATTAATCCACTGCTTATATATCTCTCTCTTTCTCCCTTCCCTAAACACAACCTAGATTATTCCTATCACTTCCCCCCCCCTCGCTTTCTACATCCCAAATCTATATAGCGTTACGATCAGACGAGTTAGGTGACTCGCCTCCTTAGCTTCGGATATAAGTATACTTATCCCCACCTCTCCCCTCNGCAGCCCCCTCTACCCTTTTTACGTCCCTAATCTCTATAACGTCACGACTAGGCGATTCAGATAACTCGCCTCCTTAGCTTCGGTATATAATCCCACCCGGACCTTTACACTTAGACCTCCCTTCTCTTTACTCTCAATAGCAAGATTTATAATAAATACGAATATCTACTTAGTAAGCCACTAGAATCCCCCCCCCTTACTCCTAAAATCCCACATTCCTCCAACACCCCCACCATATCTACTATATCTACTATATCATTAGCTCCACCATTATAAGCTCTTTATTCATTCCCCTTTCACTCTTCCGATAATCCCTTAGGTAGAATCTAACAAGTATAATAAACGTATGAGGATAGTACTACTATAACAACCATACACCCGCGCGATTTCCGCTCCTTTTTAAAAATTCAAGCTCGATCCTAAACTACCGACGTACTTTACGAACTAGTGTCGCGATAGCGCTAGTAAATAAACGTCGGAATAGTAGATATATTCGCTAGACGAGGAGGGCTCTCTAGGTATAGTTTTAGCCTAAAAATAAGGTTTTCATATAATTATTATACGAATACAAGAGGGGTAGATATATCTATAAGATAAGCGGTAAATACTACTTACTCCCTCCCCTTATCTCCCTCGCTATCCCTATCCCCTCCCTATCCTCTCCTTTTTATAGCTACAGACTACTTCCTTTCGCGCTACTTAATATAGCTAAGGGTACTTATACTTCGCTTTCTATTCCTCTATATATAGGCGAATTATAAGTACTTGAAGCTAGCTAGTAATCTACAAAGAAAAAATAATAATAAAGCGCTAGCCTTGTTTGATGTAACGTGTAACGACTGATGAATGAATATGAAATCCTCGTTTACTCCCATCCCTCATCCCCTCTCCTTCCCCTCTCCTTCCCCTCTCCTTCCCTCATTCCCTCCCTCATCCCTCATCCCTCATCCCCTCACCTCCCCCTCACCTTACCACCTACAAACCTTCCAATTTCGAGATTTCGAGTTTAATAGTAAATTACTATAAATAGAGGCATTTAATTTTGTCGATAGGCCTAGGTACTCGTACTTAGGTACCTAGGTATTTCCTACCTTATTCCCCTCCTTATAGACATTCGAATCGATATTCCACCCTGACACCCTCTCTCGTTGCGTTAAATCGCTACTTCCCTCTCTACTTCCCTATCTTAACCCCCCCTCTCCTGTCACTCCCTACTATACCTTCACCATCAAACCCCTTTAGAGTCTAAAAGATGAATTCAAATTATATTATATTACCTATTACATATTCCAAGCCAAACAAAAAAAGGCAAGGTTTCATAGTAATTATTTTTATTTATATTCTTATTCTTATTCATATTACTCATCCATCCTATTAATCTACCAATCATATATACCCCCCTCATCATCCCAGCTCATTGCAGTGCCACATAACCACTCCCACCCATATCCTCCTGCCCCCTCCCCCTCCAATCACCACCACCCAAAAAAAGTAACCCCGGGTATAATTAAGAAACATCCGCACCCACCCACTAATCAATTCAAACCAAACAACCGATGGTATATATCGCACCACTCAACAACCCCTCAGCCTTAAACACATTACAAGACCATAGCATAAGTAAGACGAAGAAGAAAAAACGTAAAAAGCAACGTAAGAGAAGATGAAACAGCAAGATCTCGATTCCCAAAGTCAAGTGATTCTCCAAAAAGAATCCCCGAGAAGAGATAATCAATCGCAAACAACCACGTAACCATCAAACCAAATCAAAAAAGAAGCATAGTAAGAAAACCGAATGCAGGCAAAAAATAGGCCGCTCATCACCCTGAAATAAGCCTAGGGTCCCCAAGTCCACCACGGGATTCACGTCGTGACTTGTACTCAACGCCATGTCATGTCAGAAGATAAGCACGAGCTTCTCCTCACGTTTCCATTGATCTTCCGTCACACAACACCTACGGGAGGCAGACTCAGGGATAAGATTGGTAAGTAGGATGTGGGTATCGGTGAGGCTCTCTCAGCTTATGTCCCTCCCTTCCAAATTTGGAATTGACTTCGCTTCTCCACGTCTGACATCCCAACGGAGTTCCTACAAACGATAGAATACCATTATCAAAGTCAAGTCGAGTCAAGTCTTCGGGTCAGCGTTCGCCAAAGCCCAACCCCCTTCTTCAAAACTTCAGTCCGTTCCACATACACCAGGTTTCCAAATCTAACTCTTACTGACTCAACCCACATCCGAGACTCACACCGGAGCACAACATGCGCCATGCATACACATTCAGCCCAGCAGAGATGGTGATGTAATAAGTTTACATTCCGCACCCGCACCGATCTGCATGCATGCAGTAGTTTTGAAGCACCACAGAAGCGCCCGTTGCCGTGGCAAGAACATGTTCGTCTCGTTTCACATTATTAGCCCCGGAAGCACCAATGTCCACACCAAAGCCACCTGTAGTCTAAAGAGCGTTGAAAAAAACGGACCCTTTCTTGTCCCGCCGACGGTAGTAGACTTGCGATCGTTGAACTTTACATCAGCAACCCGACACACGTGGCGGCGGAAGAGACAGAGGCTCAAACCTGATGGCTGGTAGAAGGCGGACAAGCCAATGCTGCATGATGTATGGTGTATTTGATTTGTTTACTTTCATTCCCGGAAATAATCCCAACCTCCTGAATCATCGTCCCATGTCTATCTTCGTGGCTCGGGTATATTCTGCACACTTCGGTCATCGTATCCGAGCACCTGCCCCTCAAATCGGTCACGACCGACGATTGCCTACCCAATGGCAAGGTCAGGGGTAGACTGCCGCAATACCTCGTATGCACGTTTTACTGTGCTTTCTTTGGAATAGATAGAAGAATGCAGGTCCCATAATCCCCGAACCCTCGTGTTGTGAGGGTAGAGCCGCCGGAAGTCCGGTAGTGGGATGGCAGGGCAGGAAGCGACTCGCTTTTCGGACGCGTCACCTGATGAGATACGACTACACTCCTCGGATTGGAAGTCGTAGGTAGATACAATTTGTTGGTAAATTGTGTGATCCGCGAGGATTGTTTGGAATGGTTGGCGGGACCGGGTTGTCGAGAGGGCGACTCGTAATGTTTAAACTCCCGCCCACCAATCTGCCTCGTCCTCATCGATTTCGGCATGCCAATCGGGACATTTCTCTATCAAAGGTGTTTGCTCTACCCATGGTTGTACTTTTTCCTCTGCGATGACGGGTAAGGCAAATTGATCCTTTACCATGGACCCGCCAAGTGCCAAGTTTTCTCTGCTGAGTGCCGTTTCGGCATTCAAGCCCGTAGGTTGTCCGTATTGCATGAAACTTCCAAAATAATCGTCCGCGGCTTCATCATCGGAATCGGTTGATGATGATGAATCAGATGTCATGGATTCTGGAAGAGAATCTGTGTTCGACGAGGAATCTTGGTTCAGATCGAGATCTACGACTCTTGATCTGGATTTCAACATCGTAAGGAAGGAATCCGATGACACGTTGTTATCCTCCTCGTCGTCCTCGGAAGCGTCTGCACTTGAGGACTCGAATAATGAATCGATCGTCATAGGTGTCGCGTGTTGTGGGGCAGGCGCCACGACATCTTCGTGCCATCTGACACTCTTGTTGGAGTTGGTGCGTCTAATTCCGCTCTCAACAAGACTCATGCGAACTTCGTTGACTAGATGACTTGGTAATGACGCATTTCGATTTTTCTGCGAGAGATTTCGCGCTTCCTCGGCGGCCAAAGCGGCTTCACGGACTAGTGCTGCCGAAGAAATTGAACGGCGTAATAGTACTTCCGATAAAGTGGGTTTCTTGAGAATTGGCCGGATTGACGATGATGACGCCGTAGATGATATTGATGACGAGCGAGATGCTGGTGTTGGGCATGGCTCAGTTGGGTCCGGCGTCTCTGGTAGAACAAAAGCATCCACTCCTGGGTGGAGAGGTCCATAGAGCCATGTTGTGTCGCGATCCTTTTGCCTATCTCCATGTCAGTACATTTGGGGGTATGATCAGATGATACAAGTCAGGTGACGTACCAATTAATTGAGATGGGTTCGACGGTTTCCAATTGATAGCGTTCCTTGGTCCAAAGTCTCCATGATGCGTTGATCAATCGAGTGCTGTTGTTGTATGCTTTTCGGGAGGATTTGGTGTTGAGGTATTTCCAAGTAGCCAACAGATCGTACTGGTTCCAGTCGTGGGAGAGAAAGTCGACGTGTTTCGAAGGTGTTGCAAGAATTGCGGTATCATCTACAGCCCGTTCGACGTACTCGGGTTCCATTGGTTGGGAGGATCCGAGAGAAGTGAGCGAAGCGGAGGATAGTGATGCGACGAGAGATTTCTTTTCCTCGTCATACGAAGGCAGTGAGATGCGTTCCTCCTCATGAGAAGAACCCAATGATTTCAAAGTCATATTGGGTGTCTCTGCGCCCAAATGCCTCGATGATAATTTGAATCCTCCCATGGTCAGATCAAGTTCCAACTCGGAATCCGAATCGTAGTCGTAAAGGTCGTCCATCTCGTGGGAGATTGGTGTCGCCGGTGTCGCCGAAATATGGAGGTTGACTTGTTTCCTCGATTGTTTCGAAACTGGCGCAGGCGACGTCGAAGTGTAGGAGGGGATGAAATCGTCCCACTCAAAGTACTCGTCCTGAGGAATGTATTCTCCCATCTTGTCCTTATCGTGCTTCAATAATAGCCGTTATCTCGTGAGAAGAGTGCGGTCCAAGAGAGGAGAGTAGTATTATATCGCCGTCACGTGTGGTGTAAAGTACGAGGTTCCAGGTGCAGGAGATGTGCGAGTCGATGCAATGCGCTTATTCCACAATGTACAGAGGATGTCGATGATGGCGCTCGATTCATTATCTGGTGTAGAGGTGTGGGTGGGTTGTTGACAGTGGGTATCGTCCGTTGGCAGTGTTGAGAGGACTCGGTGTGAGTTGGTGGAAGGAAGGAGTATTTTGTTGAGGAATTTCCGAAGGCGACGGGGGGTGGTTGGCTGTAATGGGCAATGGAAATGCAGTCGCGCATGGAATATTTTTCTGGCAGGAACCCTGGGCCTGGACAGAAGACCCCCCAGATTTAGTAAGAGACCCGCTTCAACGCTTGGCCCAAGCAAAGACACTAGTGACACTCGTCGAGTAATACGCAGAGGGCTATTGGTACAAGATACCAAGGGCCAGATATTTCCGTATAATTGCGACTCTGCTCAAGCACCGGGGATCGAGGTAGGCTCCAATTAACGTTTCCAACGCCCGTTAAGGTTAATTCTGATGAGCTTTATGTAACGGCTTCCGTGATGGTGCGCGTTTCAAGCTAGTGTTGGTGCTGGTGATGGTGCTCGCACGACACAGGACCAGGGGGATGGAGATATTGGACGAACGATCACAAGGCGATTGGTGATGTTTATATCAGCGAGGGCAGGAGGGTTGAAGGTTGTTATATACGACGGGTGATGCCTGGCAGAAGGAAGTCGACAGGGCGTCCCTTACGAGGGTTGGTAAGAAGATCGTCGACGGTACAGTAGTAGTAGTAGACAGTAGTAGTAGTAGACAGTAGTAGTAGTAGACAGTAGTAGTAGTAGACAGTAGTAGTAGTAGACAGTAGTAGTAGTAGGCAGTACGCTTGTACAGATCGTCCTAAAGTAGAAACGAGTCCCGAAAGATGAAGTAAGACTGGGATAATATATACGGGTAATAGTGATGCTGACACTCAGTAAGGGTGATGGTGCTGGTTGGTTTGTATCCCACGCCGCAGGAGCTGGGGAAGCAGGAGAATGATTCAGATGCAGATGCTGATGCAGATGCAGTCTGGTTCTGGCATGCATGGGGTTGGGCATGGGGGGTTGAGGGGTTCATATCTTCTCAGCATCCAGACTAAATGCAGCATGTTGTTATCATCATCACCTCACGCTTGAACGTACATACGGAGTACCTGAGTACGGTACGGACAGAACTCTACTCAACCGTGTACTTTGCATCTCCATCGCATCACCATCACCAGCACCACCCATCACCACCGTCACAACCTCAACCTCACACACCGCAAGAACTTACGCGAAGGATGTGCGAAGCATGATAAAATGTGCACCACTCTCGCTCGCCGCGCTCCTACATATCGCAGGGACATTGGGCTGTCATTGGCTTCATTCCACCATCCCCACGATGTCTCGTCTGCGGTGTGCCATCCTACCAGCATCGAAAACTGTAGTCAAGATCGTCACGAGGGGCTCCACTTGACGAGCGCCTCTTCTGTCACGGAAATAGGCGTGGGCGTGGGCGTGGGCATAGGCGTAGGGTTCGGCACTGTAGCATAGTATCCTCCAAAGTAGTGGGTAGCAGAGATGACAAACCCACCAACGTTGGATCTAAACCTGACAAGCAGGTAGCCATCATTCTACATGACAAGCATTCTGACAGCCTCTTTCTGACTCTACCAGTGCTCAGGTTCATACGGACATCCGAATCCCATCGTTAAGTAGAAGCAACCGTATCTCTCTGCCTCATCCGCAGCCTCAGATCCCAGACATCCACCTCCCCACCTCAAGCTTTCCCCAACATCTCTCGGAAAAAGTGGGCATGGGCATGTTGGCAACGGTCAGGGCGGGTGGTTAGGTTAGGCTATCGGAAGACTTCTCTCGTCGGATCTTCGTGCTTCCATTGAAGACGACCGATGGCATTGGCACGCCGCAGACTTCTGACTTTCGGGCTGGGCTGACTCTTTTTCTTTGACATTCTTGGAGAAGGAGTCTGATACCACCGATACCTTGGTACCGCACCGCACCTTCTACTTCGAAGTATACTTTCACCGTCAACCAACAAACAACACCATGAATCGAGTCCCCCGACCAGACATCCCACCTACCTACCCACTGCAACCAAAAGAAAGAAAAAGAAGAATTCTACCCTCATAACTATATATTTATATACACAACAACTAATAACAATCCACCACCTCACCCAATACCACCCCTTCCCAATTCTCACCTCCTGTACGTGACTCACCTACCTAATCCACCCGCCATTATTCCATCCCATCCATCCCATCCATCACCACACTCATCATCGGGCATAAAGCACCCGAAAATCCCCATCCGGTACAGTAGCCCTCGGCATTGGTACCTTAGCTCGAGGCTCTGTGTCCTCTCCCTACCTCTTCGCCTCTATCTTATCATACCTACCTAAACTACTTCCTACCTAGACAAGTAAGTAGCGGATAGTGGGTGATAATGGTGGGGGCACACACTACTCCACCCCAGCTCCCAGTCCAGTCTGTTCGCCAGGGCAAACCTCCATCCATCACCGAATCGTACATGACATTTTCCGGCGTAAACTCATGACTGACACTCTACTCATGACTATGACATCGTTGGACGGGATGCCCTTTCTGGAGTTCAGTTCATACCAAACCAAACCATACCAAGTCAAACCAAACCAAACCAAACAACATCCTTTACTTCACACCTTACCTTACCTTCACACAAGCTGGAGCCCTTTGCACCCACCACCACCACCACCGTCAACTAGGTACTAAACTCAACCTCCCTCCACTAGAATAAATCCAAACCAAACGAACGAACTAAACGAACGCTAATACAAAAAACAAGACCCCGTCACACGATCGTGAGCTTGATAGAGTACATAACCCATACCTACACCATAATATAACCCTTCTCATCCTCTCCGTACATTTCCCTAACTTGTAAACAAACCTCCTGGTGGGGGGTTGGAACTTGGTTGGGATTTACTTCGTCCCAGGCCTATTAATTGTAGGTTTGCTAGGGTGGCTTTAGTGGAGAACAGGGTAAAACCCCCCGTAAAAGTTACAATTATTATGCCTGGGACAAAGTAGCATGTGTTTGTTGTTGCTTTTTCTTGGGGCCTTGCTTGTAGTGGTTGGTGCGCGATCACGGTACCCCGGCCAGGTACTATTCATTTCCGCGTTGTGGTTCGCGTGATCTGAACCTAACTACAGAGAGGCGCGGCGGAGGGACTCGGATCGGATGGTGTCGGGTACCGAGCGCGGGCGGGTTTTCGGATCGTGAAGTTGGGGTGGGGTAAGTGATTGTGATTGTGATTGTGATTGTGATTGTGATTTTGATTTTGATTTTGATTCATTGGTTTTACTACGACGTGGTGGGTTTGGGGGGAAATGCAAAGAATTACTGTACAAGGCCGTGGGATATTCCTCCCTTGCTTCCTCCTTTCTTTCTTTCTCTCTTTATTAGAGAAGAGAGAATGCACTTTTAAAATTCCCCATCTTATTAAATTGCCGATGCCAAATTTCGAATTCTAGAATGTTTTAATGTCTTAATGTCTTATAAGACAATAAATAGGGGAAATGAGGGAAATTAAATATATTCTAGGCTTCTAGCATTTGTTTGTGTGGATGGGAGATTAGGGGCACCAGGGGGGATTATACATTCCTTTGTGGAAACTCTGTGGGGTGGGTTACGATGGATGGGGAATTGGTAGAAGTAGGTTTTATTTGGAAAGGGTTGGGGGTTGAGTGAGGTTTCTTGGTTTTAAGGTTTTTTTGGGGGGTAGAGAGAGATTGTAATAGATGGCATGTAGGTACTGTATAGTGGAATTTATTCTGTGTTCTTGATTCATAGAAGGATTGAGGAAGATAGAGGGAACTTGGAAGGCATATCATGAATCTCTACCTACTTTCCTTTCAAGTTTAACAAGTTCTATATATAGCACAAAGTAATATGTCACAATCATTATCATCGCTACCTCGCCATCGCCAAATATTACATAATCATTATTTCTAGTATTTGATAAATTAAAGATATTTTATTTACAGAAAACCTTCTTTGAAAAACCACTATCCAGATGTCAAGGGTCCTAGAGCGGTCGAAAGTATCGTAGTTATTAGAGTCTAATTACGACATAATAGCGAAAAGTGAGGGTATTCGAAATTAGGATATACGAAGGACGAGGTGTACTACTTGATAATCGAATTGTTGTTTTTATAAACAAGACTAACTTTATAGGTACCTTAGTGTCACGAATCACGTGTTAGCATGTGACGAGTGAAGACCAGGCGGCGTCCTGACAGGTTAAGCACTATCATGCTCTTATAGCGAATAGGGATCGGCTAGACTAGCTAAGCGATCCAAAGATTTCATTATAGTCACGTGACGGATCTTTGGATCTGGATGGATCTTGGGGATCCTAGGATCCAACCAGATCCATGAGCAAGAAGGTTCTATATAACACTGGCATGTCTGCCATTAGATAGGAGCTTCGTGCTCAACTTAGTTATCAACTTAGTTATCAATCTTATCATATTAGTTTGACATCTTTGATACAAGTAACGAGTTCACTTCCAAGTGAACAACCCGATAGTCTTCTTCTTATCATAGCATACCAACCAGCGAACACCCAGCCAAGTTTAGTTAGCCAGTTTGAGTATTCGTTACACTTAGGTGGCTACCCACTGCAAATTAGCCGGGGGACCATGTTACTGTAAAGCTGTTTGGTGAAGTGTTGAAGTTATATAGTTAAGGGCTTGGATATTAGAGGGTGTCTTGGCTCCTAGACCCTTTTATAAGGTTTTTGGTGGGTAGGTAGTAAGGTTCTTTTAGGTAAATGCTTTATGATTATAGTGCGTACTTGGAAGTCGGAATCGAAGCTTGTGGATTTACTATAGCGATAGCATGGAGATATTACTATTTGACTCCTTCTTTTCTACTTATTTTAGATAGAAAATATCTAGATTAAGTATAAGTTCTTACGGAGAATAACTTTATATCGAGAGTTATAGGTGTGTTTTTATTGAGAAGCCAAGAAGGCTTACTAGAAATGAAGCCATTTTTAGTAAGTAATAAGGTTGTATTATTGGACTCCGAGTGTTTGATTAAGTTTTTATAACTTACTAATCGATAGTAAAAGCTTTCTCGTAATCTTAATCTTAATTATTCTACTAGGGATATAAGCTTTATCGAGGTTAAGGCTTATCTAAGTTTAAGGTAGGGGTAAGCTTTATTAAAGGTAGATTCTCGGTAAGGTTTTATAACTAGAGCTTAGATAAGTACTAAATAAAGTATAGAAGAGAAATAGAGCGGGGTATTAAGTATAAGGCATATACTTTTTTCGTATTATAAAAAGAAGAGTATTTGGGAGTAGGGCTTAGGTATAGACGAAGAAGTTAAAGATATAGGATAGAGTAGATCATTAGTTTTAGATCTATAGGGAGTAAGGGTTAGTTAATTTGGAATTTTTGTAAAGTGTAGAGCTAGCTAACTTGTATCGTGAATTTTGAAGTTTTGATTTTATAGGTAAAGATAGTTATAATATAATTAACTGGTATTTATTTTTTCGGTAGAGTGAGTTTTCATAGTCTTCAAGAGTAAGACATTATAAGGAAGACCATTCTTCGGTCTCGCTGTGTACAACTTCTCAAGTATGTAGGTGGCTCTTGTGTAGGCACCGAGTTCATCGTGGCGTAATTATTCAAAAGAGCTCCTGTATTCACTTACTTCACATAATCGCTTCAGACAGACTCACGCTATATCTCCTGAATAATTAGAACCCCCTCAATATGTATTCATGCGATAACATCTAATGACAAGCCTTCAAATTGAATAATCACACAGAGCCAAAGTGCTGATCTCATGTGTATAAAAGAGAGAATTAGACACTCAACAGCTTCTTAAACCACCTCAACT